TGGGTCGGGTCGGGTTGAGTAGTTTCTTTTTTAATTGGATTATTATTTATTAGACAGAAAATAAAAAATCGTGAAATTAGAAAATTATATTTTTCGGTCACTATAATTTTTGTACGAGTTAGTAAAAATTTTATGATTTTTGTGTGAGAAAAACAAAGTTATATAATTTTGGTAAAAAATAAATCATAGTTACATGACCATTTGTGAATTTTAAATGATAGTATTAGATCAAAGTTACAGAGTTGCTAAAATTTCGGATAGTACGTACATAATTAATTGTCATGAAAAGTTGATGAATGACTTTATTAATTGAGGTCATCTTTTTTGTTTTGTGACATAAATGTACAAAATGACAGCCATATTTTCCAGCACCAAAGGGAGAACAAGCGACGCAGTATATGATGAGAAGAATAGCGCCAAGACGAATATGGCCACCGATTGCATTTGGAGCTTCCATAGCTTGTTGGTATGAGCACGTAAGCCGAACCATTTGCCTTCTTATCTGCAAAAACCATCGTTTGTGGGAGTTTCTCACCAAACTCCTCACCAGAAACAGGTACGTTACGTTCATTCAAATATTTCCTACCCACACTAAACTGTCCTTTTGTGCTAACTATGGTCTTGTCTCATCTCTTAAGTTTTATGAATAGTTAATGCATTTAATGGGATCATAATGGTCAATTTCTCCTCTATTTTCCATTAAGCAATAATCAAATAGTTTAAACTCGTATCATCGATAGACCATAGTAGATAACCTAAAATATAAATGTAATAAATGAGAACTAGTTACTTAGAAAATAATGCAGACTATATATTACAACATGTTGAATTGCACGAATAGTGTTGAAAGTATTCGCATTGTCTTCATATAAATTAAATTCTAAATTATGATGCCAATTATGTACAACAAGTGGAGCGGTGGAGGAAGAGAAAAGAGAACAATTTCATGTGTTGTTTATGTCCCACATTTTGAGAGTATATGGTTTCTTGACCACAAAAGGAATTTAGCATTTGAATGTCCTAGTACAAGGCCATTGTTAGATTTCATATTTGGTTATCATGACATCTTTTTTATATTTGATAATTTGCTAACAATAAGATTTTCATTTTATTTTTAATGATATATTCTTAAAGTCATACAATGACCGAAATATTAATCAAAAGATTGAAGGTACTGCGACTCGGACAAAAACAACCAGGGGCAATATTAGTTACGAGTTCAATCTAGTAGCTGCAATTCAGATCTTACATTTGTATTAAAAAAATTATTAAATATATATAAAAATTTAATTACTAACATTTATTATCCTAGAATTTAAAACTCATAAAACACGAAATCCCCACTCCTCTGACTCAGCAAATTGGGAGGAAAGGTACCCTAGGTCTTGACATTAAATTACGTGTAGACAAATAATGGTATAAAAGTCTCAAACAACGCCCACCAACTACTTCTACTGTTCCAACCTTTCTTTTCCTCCTCTTTGGGCATGTCCACTGTTTCTTCTAGGTCAACATTTCATTATGCCATTCGTGTCATTTCCTTGATAATTATTTAAGATTTAGTGGTAGATTTTTGCTTGGTTGTCTTGAGCATTTTAGCATTCATTATCATCTCTCTGTCATAGTGTCATTGATCACTCTATGAATTGTCAGCCAAGTCAGCTCTTGACGTTGACCCAAATAATAACAGGAGGAGGGTGAAAGTACAATGACAACATAAAATTGTTTGTATGTATTTGCTTATTTTGTGTCTCACCCGCTGTCCAGTATCAGCATTGGAGTTTGGGGCAGATGCAGTGTTCTACCGAGGGGTTCAATTGTATTCATAACTTTCGACGCAAAGTAAAAATTTATATGTAAAAATTTATTAAAATTGCAAAAATAATATATATGAACCCATAACTTTAAAAATACTAAAAACCTTAAAAGTTGAATTCATAGGGTTTAAATCCTGAATTCCCTCTGATCGGAGCCTGACTAAATCCGGATTCACGAGGAAAAGTCCCACATTGGGTGGGGGGAGGGGTTAAATGCTCTATAATAAAGGCGACTCGATACCAGGATTCGACTTTGACACCTTTAGTTACGAATGAATGAGTATTTACCACTCTATCACAATTCCTATTGGTGTTTGTATGTATTTGCTAATCCGGCTCAATACCTAAGTAGGTTTAGTTACCATATTTACACATTTACCAATTAATAATAATAAAAATTTACAAGTAATTACCTTAAAGGTAACTGATTGTGTAAATATTTTTATACATAAGTAGATAAAACTCAATTTCTTTCTTACGTCATCTATATTTATTGACAGAAACCAAGCTTAATTAATTTTCTCCTATCAAAAGTTTTTTTTTTCGGAACCTTAATCAATTTCCGTTTTTCCTTTTTTTAGCATTACTTTCTTGTTTACTTACCATCAAAAAATGATTTTAACAACAGGATCAGAACATACTTAGTAGAGGGATTCTGCTGTCATACACACAACGCAGCATGGCATACACTACACAACATAATTTGTGGCACTGCTGGGAAAATTGAAGGTTACTTAGACATGGTAAAAAACCGTCTAAAATGCGAAGTCACAGTTTTCCACGGCAGAGAAGATGAGCTTATCCCCGTCGAATGCAGCTACAACGTACAATCTAGAATTCCTCGTGCTCACGTTAAGGTAGTTGAGAACAAAGATCACATCACTATTGTTGTTGGCAGACAGCAGGTATTTGCTCGGGAACTTGAAGAAATCTGGAGAAATAATTCCACAACTTGAATTCCTCAAGTGTTTGAATCAAGATCCTAGCTAAACAATGTCATTTTTTTCTTTACCAAATCCAATGAAGCAAATTTGGATATAATGAAAGCTTTATTGGACTAGTTTTTATTTCTTTTTATCCTTTTTTTCTTGATAAGATTGCAAAACTCAGATAATTCTAGTATTAATTAGTATATCAGTGTATCACCACAGCTTTGTAATGGGATGCGAAAGTGTTTCTCATCTCTTCCTATTAGTAATTGTATAAGAGCAATAAGAAGCAACGGAAATGTTTATGTCTACTTGTATTTCATCTCATTTTTTGTAGATCAATTAGTTCGGATCTTTTGCATTCACTATATTGCCTACTCACTTCATCCTTAGATTATTACATAGCTCTGGTTTAAATTCACTACACCATATTTTTTATTCAGATACTTATAATTATATATCAGTATATAATAGAATCATTCAAAATTTTAGTATAAAGAAACTCTAGCTATGTTTACTGCTTAACATTATACATCAGAGACATCAAAGTGATGGCGTGGAGCTCAATTTACTTCCTTTATCATGCCAAAGGTAGTTTGGAGACGCACGTGCACGGAAGAAGCTATAGCTCTGGGTTTCGGTGGTTATAAATGTTCTGTGCATATTTGGTGACATACAATAAATCTCGAATTGACCCGTGGATTCTGGCAATGAGCCATGTGAATCTTAATTAGTTCGAGAGGGAGATTGTTGGGTGTGCATATAAAAGCATCATATTAGTAGTTGAAAAGATTGGGAAGCTAATGATACTTTTAATTAAATGAAGTCTTTTAACGAAAACCGTACGAGAACAATATTACGGTCCTATATTCCTTTGATTTAGCTTAGCCCAACAATAAGACAAATCCATAAGTTATGAGTATAGTTTTCTTTTTTTCTTTTTTGATTTTGTAATTTGGCAACCAAAGTTGACCGGGCAATGCCCTTTCAAAGTAATTGGAATGCTCTCCGATTAACTCTAGATATGCTTGTGCTGGTGGCTAGCCAGAGAAAATAATGAGGCAAGTAAATTCTGCTGATTTGCTCCAAATCCACACGCCTATGTATTTAAAGTTGGTTGTTGAAATAAATGACCTAACACTTAGCTTGCTGTAGCCATTTATGCCTTTTTTTCTCCCTAAAATCCACACTGAATTAGCCAAAGAGTCTTCCTAACTGTTCACTTGCCTCCACTGTTTCCTAATTCAACTTTCAAGAAAGCTAATGAGTTACTTAAGGAGATAAATGTAGATCGAATCTAGACATAATATCTGGTTCCACATGCATATTTTTGCTGATATTTTCTGTTTGTTTTGAAAAAGAGGGACAATGGTACAGGTTATGTTTGCAAATACGCAAGTAAACAGACCCTCTCGTTTCTCATTTGTCAAAATATTCAAATCTGGTTTTCTTGATTCTCACTTCTTCTGCTAGACGAACTTCTTTTTTTTTTAAATTTCTCAAAAGTGTCCTGTACTCGTATTTACGTCTTGACTAATCCGAATTCACGTAAGACTTCAAAAGGGGAAGTTCTCCCTACTAAAATATTTTTCATCTCTGTTGTCTTTCCATGTGTAATATTTGAGTTAGAGTAAAAAGTAATGTTAATAGTAGTATATAGCTGATATATACACATATTTTTAAATATTTCACAAATTTTAAAAAAATCTACCAAATTTGTAATTAACTCAAAGAGTTTTCCATTTTATATAGATCCTAGTCCGTCGGGGAAAGGAAATAATAAAGCTTAGTCCTCCACTCCTTTTTTCTTTTTAAATATCTAGAACATCATAACAGTTTTCCAAGGTTTACTTTCTTTTTTTTGGGCTCTATACAAATAGCTGATTGGATTTAATATTTATTTTTTCTGTTAGTATAATATAAATTATACATTAATTTTATATAATTATGTATGAATTATACATATGTTATATATTCGCCCGTTATTTTTATCTAAACGATTGGGCATACAGCTTTTTACGTTAAGTCTTACTTTTCTTTTTTTCTTTGTGTTGGACGTTAAGAAGATTCTGAAGTTGACTATTTGGGCTACGGTTTCACTTCTACTGATAACTTGGACTTTCTTAAGCTGCTTTTTATGCGGGCTTTGAATCCTATCTTTACGAGAAAATAACATTGTTTTTATTAGTTCATTTTTTATTACTGACCCGAAATGGTCTTTCGGCCCAATTTATTTATAATTTATAGCCATTGTCTATTTTCAATATATTTATTTTCCCAAGACCATATTTATTCCAAGCCTTTTTAGCTTTCTTTCATTCTATCCAATTCCAATGCACAAATTTTTTTTCTCATTACCACTTTCATTCACATCCTCTTTCTTACCTCTTTTTTTCTCAGTGTCTTCTTCGTCTTCCTTTTCTCTTTCTTTGGTTATTTATTTTTTATTTTTCTTCCCTTCTCTATCTCCCATTTCAGATCTATATTTTTTTCTCTTTATTTTTTACTTCACACTGAAAAAACTTGTTTGAGTACCTAGAAAGATTACGAAATTTTTAATTCAATTCTTAAAAAGATTTACTTAATTACGATGCATGATACAAGAGTGGCAATAAAAGTCGTGGGATTTTCTAGTCATGCTTCTTCTTCTTCTTCTTCTAGTCATAATATTGTTTTGTGAGTAAAAATCTTTTACAGTGAGTAGCCGATGGTGAAAAATGACATTGTAAAAGTAATAGCCGAAAAATGTATAAAAACTGTATATTTTTTTGAATATATATACATTCTGTATGTTATATACAAAATTATACAGTTTTATACACGTTTTCAACTATCAAATGTAATTAGTTTTTTGCGCGGGCTAAAAGTGATAACACCCCGATAGTGGGTCTGGATTTAATGAGATAGTTGGATGATACTTATATATATATATATATATATATATAATGTATTAAATATTTTATATACACATATATAGAGTTGTACATATATATGATAATTTATATTATAGTTTTATATAAAAGTTATATGTATATTATTATGCTATGTATAAAAGTTGTATATACATTATCCTAAGTTTGGCAATGTACTTTGTGTAAATTGAGTATATTCCGAACGTGTTTGTGTATCCAAAGCGTATATTAATTTTTTTTATGCATGATTATATAATGTATATATATATATTACACAATATGTATATATATTATATAATAGTTATATATAGTATATACAAATTATATACATAATTTGTACACGATTGATACATATTGTGCAAGTGTATTTTTGTATAAAATTGTATAAACTGTTATATGTGTATCGAAGATGTATATTTACAGTTAAAAGTTTTATATACAGTATTTTCCGAGTTTGATAATGTATTCTTAGTGTATTTCGGGCATATTGTATATTTTAAGTATATAAAAATATATATATTGTTCAACAATGTATAAAAAAGTATCTATACACACTATACTAGTGTATAATACGTATAGTACGTGTACAATCTATACATTACCTTCTTCCTCTTCTTCTTATTGCTTATGCAATATTATATTTTTCTAGATTGTGTCACTACAAATTTAGTTCTTTTTTGTAAAATATAAAAAAAGGATTGTAATTTGTGTATAATAGGAAGAATTTTGGTGGTTTTGGAGAAGACAATTGGGTTTATTCTTCTTTTTTTTGTAATAAATGTTTTGTATGAATTCTCAGTCTTTCACTTTTTCCTATTTTAGTTAATTCTTAAAAGTTGTAGTTTTGTATAAAGATTGTATATACACTCATATAAAATTGTTATACATGGTACTTGTATATTAATTTATATGGAAGTTATAAAGACACTATTATACAATGTTAAAACTATATATGCAATGTATACTAAGTTTGGCAGTGTGTCATTTGTGTATATTGAGTGTATCCGAGTGTGTTTGTGTATCTAGAGTATATCTTGTATGCATTGTGTAATGTACATCTCTCTCTCTCTCACACACACACAAAATCTCGTTATCTGTGTGTATTGTTTCTTCTTGAGTTGAGTTTTTAAGTAAGTTTTTCTCTTTTGAATTTTTTTTGTTTTTTTTGTATTCACCAGCTTTTTGGACTTTTGGCCGAATTGTTCTTTTTGTGTAATTGAAAACTTATTTGACTGAAATAGTTTTATACTTTACATTGCTTTTATACTCTATCCGGTTGGTATAATTTTGTGCTTGTTTAGTTGTTGACTAAATTTTACCAGATTGGCATAACTTTATGTCATATGCAATCGACCTATTTGTTAAATTGTTCATCAAAGTCTACTCAACTGGCATGATTTTGTGCTTGTTCAATCGTTCACCAAACTCTACCAGATTAACGTGACTTTATGTTATGTCAATTCGACCGATCTGTTAAAATTATTCATCAAAGTTTACCCGTCAGAATAATTTTTCTGTGTCGTTCAACAAAATATTCTTCGAACTTGCAATTTCATTTTTGATAAAAACCACCCCAAATCTATTGAAAATGATCTCAAATTTGACACAGAGCCTCTAAATACCAACACAAAGATCCACAAATACCAATTTAGTCAAATAATACCAAATCAAGAAGACCCACTTTAATTTGTCTTCTTCAACACTTTCTAAGGACCAACAATAGAGTATTAAATTTTTTAAAATAAATTACTAAATAGTGTTTAAACTAAAAGTTTAAGCATAAATAATTAACATTCAAATATTATTATCAATAATTAACCATTAACTTCGAATTTTGAACCCCAAATAAGAATTTTAAGCTTTCAAAATTGAAGAATTGTGGAGTTCCTAGTGAATATGGAGAAGGAGCTGAAGGGGCAAATATGTTATTTGGCGCACAATGAAAAAAGTGGAGTTCATTTGATTAATATCGCCAATTACGTGTCACGACCCAAAATTTTTCACCGACGGGACCGTGATGGCGCCTAACATTTTACTTGCTAGGTAAGCCAACATTAGAGAATCATTAAACCAATTTCTTATTCCCATTCAGTAATTAACAATAATTAACTAAGATAAAATATAATAAGTGCGGAATATCATAAAACTGTATTAATTACTACCACCCGGATCTGGAGTCACAATTCACGAGCATTCTAGAATCTACTACAAGTAATAGTCTGAAAGAAATACAAGAAAATAATAGGACATAAAAGATAGACGGGGACTTCAAGATCTGTGAATGCCAATAGATCTACCTTGAGTCTCCGGACAACGGACCAATAGCAAAATCTCGATCAACCTGAGCCGGTACCAAAATCTGCACAGAAAGTACAGAGTGCAGTATCAGTACAACCGAC